TGAGCACGATAATAACAAATCTGGGCGATACGTATCACCAGTAAGTATTGAAGGGCTTTTGAATCCATTTAGATCAGCGTAGAGAGTAGAACCGTCAACAGTTTGTAAAGTATGAGCAAGAAAGTTCAGGACTGAATTGTGTCTCCACGTAAATCGGTCGAGATAAAACTGACATCCAGCTACTACGTGTAGTAATGTTTCAGGGCTAAGAAAAAAAGAACAGTCTGAATTTGAAGATATTGCCCATCTGTTTAGGTTTTTGCGCCTCGGAAGAGAGTTGTTAATGTAACGAATGGTAAAGTTGTAAATGTTTTTCGGGAGCTTTGATTGGGCGATGGACCAAACCTTGTTAAGTTGAGGTAAAGCAAACTTCGTGACGCTGCAGAAAAAGGATCCTTGACTGGTTAATTGGTTTAGGAGTTTGTTTTCGTGTCCAGAACGGAAATCTTTGAGAACTTAGAGTAGTAGAGTTATAAGCGTCATATTGGATATTAGTATGGTTACTGGTCCAATATGACGCTTATAACTCTACTAAGGAAGTAATAATAATGGAAACTTTATTTATTGATTATTAGGATATATACAACTACAATGATAAACTTCGCTTTACAGGTAGTTTATCAATGTCTACTTGAATTGATACTATATATTTATTGTACAATAATTATTTTAAGAAGGATTATATTAACATTAATTTTGGGTTATCCCACATCTTGTTTCGCTTACAAAATACATAATATGATGTTCGTATGCATATGTTCACGATTTGCTTTTTTATGTATTTACTATACTTGGCATCACATTTAAGGCTACTTAGCATGCCATCGAAATTTTCAGAAGATCGGCCATTTCAGAAGATCGATTGACTTTATCATAATCTGCTTTCTGCTCATTGATTAGATTACGGTACTTTTGATGCTTACGATTGGCGTTAACTTGCAGATTGGATTGATAACCGACTGTAAGCTCGAGGATGTATAAACATCTGTTTTCAGTCACCAGCAGAAGGTCAGGTCGTAAACGATCTCCCGTGATAACAGATGGATTCATAAAACCAGGAATGTCCGCGTAAAGTGTGGAATTTTTTACAGCAGTAAGAGTGGATGCGAGGAAATTTAAAACAGAATCGTGTCGCCATGTAAACCGGCCTTCGTCTAAATATGTCTTACATCCAGCAATCACATGGAGCAACGTTTCAGGTGAGGAGCAGAAAGAGCAATCGGATGTTGATGATAGTCCCCATTTTGATAGGTTCTTTCGTGTTGGAAGTGTGTTATTGATATATCGGATGGTGAAGTTAAAAATGTTTTTCGGAAGTTTGCTCTGAACGGATGACCATAAAGAGTTGAATATGGATGTGGAATGATAATAATAATAATAATAAAAATAATAATAATAATAATAATAATAATCAATAATAATATAACTTTATTCATCATTTCATTATTATACAATAATTCTTTTGTTATCAATGACTATATTACAGGGCCTTTTTAGCATACAAGCTGGGGGGCATTTGCCCCCCCCAGTCCCCCCTTGTGCCCCCCCCCCCACGAAATCACATTTTGCCCCCCCCCAGGAAAAGGCCCTTTTTCCTAAAATTATACAAACAATCCAGCGAAGATTAACAAATAGATAAACGGAAAGTAATTTTAGGCTTTATCCTTTGTTCTTGTTTAACAAAATCGATTTAAATTGTTACTTTTTTTACCACTAAGCCATGATAAATTATTTTTAATATTTTTTTTTATTTTTTGGATGCTCAGAATGCAGGAAATAGCATTTCACGGTTTCAAATTTCAAAAATTTTCTTGGGTTATCCCTCCGAATAAGTAATGATAAATTACAGTTAATATTCTTTTTTACTTTTTGTGCATTTTTCCATCTTTTATTTCAAATACAACTATAGTTAGCATAAATTTTAGAGCAAATTTGGATGCTCAGAATGCAGGAAATGGCATTTCTGTGGTTCAAATTTCAAAAATTTTCTGGGGGAGTACACCCCCACACACCTGACCATTGCTATCCTCCTCTAATAAGTAATGATAAATGATGGTTATCTTTTTTTTACTCTTTGTGTGTTTCTTCCTTATATAGTTAGGATAAAGTATAGTTAGGATAAATTTTGGAGCAAATTTGGATGCTCAGAATGCAGGAAATGACATTTACGGGAGTCAAATTTCAAAAATTTTCTGGGGGAGTACACCCCCAGACCCCCCATTCATGCGTGGTATATTTGCCACACACGTGGCTTTCAGCCATTGCTATCCCCCTCTAATATATTATCTCACAGAAAGGTCCCTTTTCAAAAAATGCCCCCCCCCCACGGGAAAATCCTTAAAAAAGGCCCTGCTATATTAAATAATCTGTTCCTTGGGTGTAATTAAAAAAGTGTCTAAATGTTTGTTGATATGTACAGTTAAATATTAAAAACAAACTCTGGAACAATATACCGCTACATAAGAGAACTTCCTTAGCAGAGCTATAAGCGTCATATTGGATATTAGTATGGTTACTGGTTGCTTTCCACAGGTCGTTAGTTGATTCATTAGGAGAAAATTTTAAAGCTTTTCGGAGGATTGTTTGACACTGGATAAATTTTACAGATGGAGGATAAATACTCAGGCCAAATTTGTTATTTGTTAGAAAGACAGTACTTAGTGTTCCTGATATTGGTACATCAAGCCATCTGCGGATATATTTGTTGGCAATAGAGTCGATATTTTCAGTAACTCATGTTTTAGAGAGTGTTGCGACGGTGAAGTGCCAGGCTAACTTGGACAAGACGTAGCGACTGTAGAGGAGCAGTTTATTTTTGGGATGTAGTGGCTTTGAGTCAATATCAGTCATTAGTTCATTAAGTTGGGTGGTTAGTTCAGTTTTATGATTATCATTCGACATGTGAAAATCAAAGTAACGTCCTAAATATTGAAACGATTCTCCAATAGAGATTTTTGGTATTAGTTGATTGCCGATGAGGAGTTTTGGCAAGTACTGAACTGATTTTGTGATGGCTTTTTTAATGCCAAAGGTACAGATGGCTTTTTTAATGCCAAAGGTTGTCAACTCGGATAATCATATCGGACCATTGGCACCAGATAGAAAATCGATTTAATAGATGTTGGTTTTCGGATTCTTGGCCAGTAATTACAGCCGCGTCATCAGCAAACTGGAACCAGTGGATGGGATTTAGTAATTTGAAGGAAAACCCAAATTGACGGTATTTTTCAGCTTTGATATGCTGAACGAATGTATTGAAGCACATGTTAAAAAGAAGAGGACTGAGGCAATCTCCTTGCAATACGCCACGGCCAACTGTCATAAAAGGAGCGCGGAATTCAGAGGTAATTATCGAGGTTTGAAAATCAGTATATAAACTTTTTATAACAAATTTTATATGATCAGGGATATGGTGGTAGTCAAGTACGGATTGTAATAATAATAATAATGGAAACTTTATTACTTTCAATAATATATATACACACTACAATGATAAACCTCTCTTTACAGGTAGTTTACCAGTGTCTACTTGAATTAACACTCTACATAATAACAATATTAGTATGACATTAGTTGTGGGTTATCCCATTCTTTGTTACGCTTACAGAATATATAATACGAGGACCTGATACATATATTAATAATTTTCCGAACATAGTACTTTCTACATTGTTCATCAAACTTTAGATCTTTCAGCATTTCGGTGAAATCTAGCGACGGGTGGCTGAAAACTCCTAATGAGCTAATCGATAAATTTACAAATTTCACTTTTTCATAATTTTTGAGCTGTTCGTTAATTAGATCTTGATATTTTTGTCTTTTTCGAGTTGCATTAGTGAGGAGATTAGATTCAAATCCGACGGTAAGTTCAAGTATATAAATACATTTGTTTTCAAGTGTTATCAAAAGATCAGGGCGCACTTCATCTCCGGTGATAACAGATGGACTGATATAGCCAGGAAGGTCAGCATAAAGGTTACAATGGTTCACAGATTTAAGTATGGATGCTATGAAGTTAAGCACCGAATCATGACGCCACGTGAAACGTCCTTCATTTAGGTAGGTCTTGCATCCAGCGACGACGTGAAGAAGTGATTCTGGATTCAAACAAAACGAACATTCGGATGTTGGTGATATTCCCCATTTCAGAAGGTTTTTACGAGTCGGAAGAGTGTTATTTATATACCGGATAGTGAAGTTAAATATATTCTTGGGAAGTTTACTCTGAACGGAGGACCATATAGAGTTGAATGAGAGTGTAGAATGTTTAATGATATTGGAGAAAAATGAGCCTTGTGAAATGAGGTGGTGTTGAAGCTTGTCTTCATGTTGTTCCCTGATGGTGTTTAATACGTCCTTGGTGTTTTTGTATTTGTCATATTGTACATTTTTGTGATTGCTAGTATCCTTCCAAAGGTTATTGATTGCTTCATTTGGCGACGACTTTAGGGCTTTCCGAGAAACAGTTTGGCATTGAAGGAATTTGGTTGAAGGTAGAATGATATTTAATCCAAATTATAATAATAATAATAATAATAATAATAATAATAATAATAATAATAATAATAATAATAATAATAATAATAATAATAATAATAATAATAATAATAATAATAATAATAATAATAATAATAATAATAATAATAATAATAATAATAATAGTTTATTAGAACTCTCTTGCAGTTACAAAAAACTGAATTAACGAGTACTTTTGTATATCAGAAATAATAGTTTATTAGAACTCTCTTGCAGTTACAAAAAACTGAATTAACGAGTACTTTTGTATATCAGAGACTGCAAAATTAAGGAGGCTGATAGAGTCCCTAGGAATAATCTCGAGGGCTGAAGTATCATCCACGAATTTTGTAGGAAGATGCCAATTAACCAGTAACCTATTTGTCATGACCATAAAAAGTACTACTCCGAACAACAACGAAATTGAAACTCTTACTATTGTAAATACGTAAACCTGGTATAGAGCACCAAACGCAGCTACTGAGAAGCTCAAGGAATTTGAAAAACTACTGCAACATATTGATCGCGAGGACAAAGAAAGTATCATGATGGGAGATATTAATATTGACCTTGCTAAGGATTCAACCGATGCCAACACAGTATAATTAAAATTTCTTATGGACTTATTCCAATAGAACCAGAAAATTAATGAACATACCAGAGTGACAAAGTGACGCCAATTTACAAAAATGGACCCAAACAGGACGTGAATAATTATAGATCAATATCTGTGATCTCAATTATTGCTAAAGTAATCGAAAAGATTGCTCATAACCAACTCTCATTTATATTAACAAGATGAGAACCTATATATTATCTTAGTACACCTCCCAACATGATTTCAGACCTGGTCATTCCAAACTGCACTACTAGAAATCACTGACAGGCTATATATCATAAATATAGAGATTACTTCATGAATTATGTTTTGTAAGCGCGTACGATTTGTAGTCACGTGTGGATTGTTACAAGCAAACGAGTGAGCTTATAATAATTCACGAGCGAGTAAAAATGGTATTCGCGAACCAACCATGATGTTGTTTGTTTGTTTGTTTGTTTGTTTGTTAATTGTTATATATATTTCAAAAGCTCTTTAATAATTCAGGAGCGAAACACAAAGAAAAATTATAAGCGTGTCGTGGTTTTACATGTGATAAAAAATCACGTTAATTTACATAAACTTTAGCTTTTATTTTCTCGGTTTAGACAAAGTTTATTTTAAAAATTACTTCGCCAATGAACATGTATAAGATGAGTCGTTTTTGAAGCTATTTAAAGCACTTGTAGTCGTGTTTTATCACATATAAAACACTCCGCTACGCGTCGTGTTTTATATATGTGATAAAACACTCTTATGCGTGCTTTAAATAGTACATAACTACTGACATTTCCTTCACGATGACAAAGTTTTTAATTAAATTAATATTATTAATTTAAAACGTAGAATATTTGGTGGAATTATTAATTTGAACCTCTGACTGGAGAGATTTTCTTGTTTTCTTCTCAAAGCTAAATCGTTGATAATTCTTGCACGAGGGTATAGTTTCTTTCCCGTCTTTGGTTCTGACCGAAATGATAAACTCAGAAACGTACTCGTTTAGTTCTGCTGTCGGAGTGTAATAGTATTACATCTCGTTCTGTTTTTTTGCTAGGTAGCTTTATTTTCTTTTTCTGAAATAAAATTGTCAACAGAACTGGCGACCGTAAATCTCGCAGCCATTTTGATTTTCAAATTGAAGTAGCTCTTTATCGTTCGTCCAATCAAACGGCACGAACGATATTGTTTCACTTGTGAAATTTCATCGTTCACGTCGCTGATTGGCTGCGGCTAAATTCCGTACAATTATTACGCAATGATATTTTAATGAATAAATCTCGGTACTTATATAATAAATACTATTACAAACGCATTTAATAATGACCTAAAAATCTATCTGACTGGCTTACCGTAAATAAACTCAGTTTAAATACTAAGAAAACAGAATATATGATTATAGGATCTTATCAAAGGCTAAATTTAAAAGAAGCAGATTGTCCAATCTATCTCGGCACAGAAAAAATCAAACGACTAGTTAAAACGGTTAAGTTATTGCGTCTAATGTTAGATAAGACGCTAAGTTGGAATGAACAGGTGAACGCAATAACAACTAGTAAAGTAAACAGAGGTTTGAATATACTAAAAAAGTTAAATAATTGAAACTCAGTTACTATAACTGCTTATATATTAGTGCAACCTTACTTTGACACTTACTTTCACATGAAGTATGGGGCGGCATCGGCTCCACACTTTCTGATAAACTGCAGCGTTTACAAAACAGAGCTGCGTGCATTAACACTAAGTGTGTATATATGTTGCCCGCTCCTGTGTTCTTCTACAGCACCTAAATTTAATAACCCGGAGACTCGTAGGAACCTGCAACTTGCTACACTAGTGTTTAAAGTCAGAAATTCAATGGTTCCTCGTTCCATATCAAATTTATTTCAATTAACCAATGACGCGTACACAATTACGAAACGAGACAGGTGCAAAATTATTTTCCACCAGATTTATATACTTACGATTTATCATAAACTATCGTTTTCTTCTCATCTCGGTCATCAAGTTCATATCCTGTGTGAAGAATGTCTTTTTTATTAGTTCGGTTAAATGAATCGTACAGCTCTGTGACCAGAAGTCGACATACTGAAATAAAACAAAATGGTTTCAGTTTAAGTAAACTATAATAGTTAAAGACGTTTACGACTAAAGTTTTTGTGCTTAATAATAATAATAATCAGTTTTTATCAGACGCTGACGTTCACGGATATTTGATAAGGTAAGAATATCCTCATGCACTGAAAGAAAATTTTTTTAATATATTTGAAAGTCAAAACCCAAATAAATTTTCTCGACGTCATGTGTCCAACACATTAGTTGAATATTCATAATTGTTTCCTAACTTACCATGACACCGACTTGGTCTTTGCCACGCATTTTCTCTCCATTCTTGAAAGTAAGGATCTGGTTTTGTCTGTTGCGTTTCTTCCTGGTTGTTAGTACGTGCTAATTTTACGAAGAAAACAATGAATAATATGGCTTTAGTTTCTCGTCCCATCATTACAATCAAGGGTTTTAAAAAGTTAACTTCATACACGCTTTGATCATTGTAGATTTATTTTTTCGTGAATTGATTGATTAATGTTTGATTTGAGATACATCACGTGTGTTGTATCCCACGACTTTGTTCTCATGTTCTTTTGGCTTTGCAAGTTTTTATTGACACATATTTCAGCGAAGACAAATACAATAAGAGACTGTTTGTTCAGGTACGCTTTAAACCGAATTTGTTAACATTTGTCGTTTGTTATACATTGAATATAAACAGTGCTGCTGCAATTAATAATGCATTGGGCAGGAAATGCATGTATATTCGAGTCTCAGTGAAAAAATATAGCTAATGGGATTCTAAGTTGACTTAGTTTCAGGTTGAAATGTTTGCATAAAATACATGTTAAGTTGCACCATTGTAATATATGCATACGTAATGTACATTTTCTATAGTGAATGTGTAGTTATATTACACAACAATGAATTTCATTCGTACACTATAAGTGATATAGTTCTCAAATAGAAATTGATTCTTCTTTCGCTCGATTATTCTCAACAAATTAAACTAATGCTTTATTGCGTCGATAAATAAATATTCTGCATTGAGGGGGATAATCTTTGAAAGTATCATGTTTACTTTTAATTATCATCATCAAACATTCAAATAGTTAATTGTAGAAAAGAAATTGAAACATATACGATTGAATAAGAATAATATATGCACATCTTCTTAAAAGCCCGTATTTTTAGAATTATAAAATGGAAGTTAGCTTGAAAGTGTGCGTTTCAACAACGTTCTATATTTTATTGTTTTGCACAGGATTTACGTCTGGAAATATAAGCATCGATGATGAGTTTATTGTAGTGGATGGCATACGTGTTCGTAAATCCGATCAAATTAGAGTTCGCTCTGAACAGCATATGAAAGAAGAACAAGCAAGAATAAAAGACACTTTAGATGGAGAGGACGCCAGACTTTACAATGAAAGCGAAGAAATCACCAAACATTTACCGAATAAGTGCCAAGGTTTGTCATTGAATGATTGTTGCTCCTTTCAATAAATATTTAACTGAATTTTTTCTGTGTTGGTGTAGTGTACTCAGGTGAATATGATATTTGCGGTGTTACTCTAAGTGCATATCCACACCGGGCGAGCTTGAAAAATATGCCCGGCCACGGTGGGATTCGAACCTACGACCTTTGGAATACTAGCCCAATGCTCTTCCAACTGAGCTACGTGGTCAGGACGGTTCGAGTAAGTGATATTTCGAAACAGAATCTAGTTCCTTCAATACCAATGTATTCTAGTAATATGATTTTTTTCTGTTTTGGTGTAGTGTACTCAGGTGAATATGATATTTGTGGTGTTACTCTGAGTGCATATCCACACCGGGCGAGCTTGAAAAATATGCCTGGCCACGGTGGGATTCGAACCTACGACCTTTGGAATACTAGCCCAATGCTCTTCCAACTGAGCTACGCGGTCAGGACTGAGCTACGCGGTCAGGACGGTACTACACCAACACAGAAAAAAATCATATTACTAGAACACATTGGTATTGAAGGAACTAGATTCTGTTCCGAAATATCACTTACTCGAACCGTCCTGACCGCGTAGCTCAGTTGGAAGAGCATTGGGCTAGTATTCCAAAGGTCGTAGGTTCGAATCCCACCGTGGCCGGGCATATTTTTCAAGCTCGCCCGGTGTGGATATACACTCAGAGTAACACCACAAATATCATGTTCACCTGAGTACACTACACCAACACAGAAAAAATTCATATTACTAGAAT